CAAAACGCTGTATTGAATGTGTGTTGTATTTTATTGTCTGCACCAAAACGCTAATGAAAGTTTGAAAACGTTAATGAACCCACGCAAACATATTCATGATTGTCAAATTCAATGCTAAATTTCTTAATGAACGTTTCATCGCACTCTTGAGACTCCGTTCGCGTTATCGTATGCCCGTTCGCGTTATCGTATGCTTCTTCGCTTCAATGAATATTCCTTTGCGGTTAATGAACAGCAAAAGGTGTACTTCTTAAATCGCGGTGTTTGATACAATCGGGAGGACCATTAAAGCACTGCCTCATTGATTCAACCGCTCAAAAAACACTCTAAATCGGCTGGAATTTGGTACAGACCAAGGTAAAATACAGGTAAAGATATTTTGAAAAGATCGTTGCATTTATTTCAGTATTTTCAAAGTAATCCATATTACAAAATCTTAGTAAGATCGTAACTGAAACACAGCATGGGCTACCTGTGGATTTGCTATGTGAGTGAACATTTGCATAATATTTAAACCCTTCACAATAAGTACGCTTGCACTCTTCGAGTATCCACGAATTAAAAAGAAAGAAARAAAAAAAAGAAAGCAACAAACAGACAAAAGACTAAAAAACACACACAAACAAAAAACAAAACTCGGCATAATAAAACCATTAACCACAACTCAAATAGCAACAATAACAAAACAGTCATTGTTATATCTGTTTATTTTTTCCAATTATACTTTCCTAACTATCTTCCACATGATCATAACTAACTTGGATAATTTAAGAAACGATATAAAATATATACCTATATATAATCACTTTACTCCTTGCTTTAAATATATGAATATATCTCTGGTTGTGGACTATTACGTTGCGACTACATTAACAAAGGAAACCAGAACAAATTTCAAATCAAATTGGCAAACAACAGTTTAACACTGCATAACAGATGAATTGATGATTTCTGGAGTTTAAAATGTTACTTGTTCACTTCTGATCACACACACTAACACAAACACGCGCGCGCGCGTATAATTAGCAATTATTCGCCGAAGGCGAAGTGAATATCGGGGATTATTGCCTCCGTTCTCGGTAATTAACTCTTACATATTTACCGAGACGTGAGTTTTCGAGCGGCGAGGTAAATATTATCCATATTCACCGAGCCTGATCAAAACGATTGCCGGCAGATGCCATTTTGTTGCCGACTCAATATTTTGAGATTCAGAGGTGAATATCGTACAATATTCACCTCCAATTAACCAATGAGCGCGCGCGTTCTTAGGAAGTACACAAGTCGGTATATGCTAAACTAAAATATTCACCTAGTTCAAAAACGTTGTCATCGCCAAAGGCGATAGACGATAGGTCATTCCGACACGGAAATGGTTACGTTGAATACAAAGAACATCGAATCATTCTCAACACTAAGGTCCATACTCTTGACAAGAAGAAGAAGAAGAAACACAAGACATTTCAGCTATTTTTGGATCTTGGAATGACATATATCCTATATCTTTTCGCCTATTGCCTATCGCCTTTGGCGATGACAAAGTTTTTTGAATTAGGCGCATACTTTAAAGGAAAAATATGAAAACGTGCACAGATTCCTTTGTTTAAAAACTCAATCGCGCATAATTGCCTAATTTGTTTGAAAATTTGTCTGGGAGGCCTTGGTTGTTGTAGTGGAGCTTTCACATTGATAAACAGGTCGTGATGTATCTCAATCGTCACAATGATGTAATATAACAATTTGATCTGATCAACCCCTATTTTTGTTTTAGCTTCTAACAGGTATTTTTAAATTTAGTAAAACAGAAAGCTAATTGCTCTAGCCGGAAAAAGCATGTTTAAATTATCACAATGATGAAGAAAACTTATTTTAAAACGATTAGGGGTTAATAAGAAGCATTTAAAAATTGACCAAAACATGCAGTCCCTGGGTATTTTCTCGTACAAATTCTTCTACTTTTTGAAAGTTTTTCAGGTTTTCATTTGTCGACTTTTTAGCCCATTGCACGTGAAGAATTATCTGAAAAACGTTAGTGTAGAGCGCAGGTTTGTGCTAATCTTGCTTAATTACTTAACTATGACTTCGTGATGAATTCACAAACAAAATGGACCGATGTATTCTTTCTTGCATAGAGCATAAATACTTCTCATATTGTATAAATACTGTATTCTTCAAGAACGTTCTGRCGATATGTATGTGTGCTAGACTGGTATCTTTATTCCATAAGCGAAGCTCCAAGGTCCTTGCCCCACAGTATTGATTGCGCATGAGCGAAACTGGACATGTTCTCCAGGAGGAAGCAGCTTTAGTCTGTCGACTATTACATTGTGATCAAAGCCTTTGTAGATTTCTACGAACGAATTGTTGGGTCCTGCRSAAAAGACAAATATACMACTATTTTAATAAWCGTTKTCATCGCCAAAGCCGATAGGCGATGGAAATGTTTCGTTGAATACAAAGAACACTGAATCGGCCGATCACAATACTAAGGTCAGTGTTCTTGGAGAGAATAAGATGCAGAAAAGTCATTCCAGTTATTCTTGAATCTTGGAACTATGACCTATYTCCTATCACTTTTCGCCTATCCCCTATTTCCAATMGCCTTTGGCGATGAAAACGTTTATTGAAATAGGTGTATACAAACKYATTCGTTTACAATAAATACTAGCAATGGGATGATTAGATGTCAAATGGAGAGCCCCTAATGCAATTCCTTTCCCCAAGTGTCCTTTTAAGGGGGAAAGCAAACACTATATGGAAAGCAAGTAGGCAGGCATGCAAGAGGGAAAAGAAGAAATGTTACCTGTACTGCACTGAAGTAGATATCCCACCACGGGATACAAAAAGAAATTCGAATCCGGTGGGTTCCACACAACACGGACATTCTTGTCTTCGGTAATGGAACAGGAAAGCTTTTCTGGTGGACATGGAGCTTTAAAAACAATAAATAAATCSATCAATCTACTTTGTTTTAAGAGGATACCACTTGACAGTAATTCGAATGATAAACTAAAGGTCCTCTTTCAGGGACGGGGCCGCCATTAACGTGGTCATCCAAACCACATGAAATAACTCCGATATCTGCTATCAATGATGGYAATTGAACTGWGTGGAGTGCAATTTGGACCAAAATCATACGAGTGATTACGCGCGGGAGTGCAATTTGTTAATCACAAGTATGATTTTGATCCAAAATTGCACGACACGAAGTTCAATTGCCACTTAATCATATCCTTTTTGTAATCATACACAAGAGACACATTACAGAGTGCAGAATAATCAATTTAATGTAGAAGAAGAAGTAAATCAATCAGGTTTTTCCTGGTATAAAATAAACAATTTATCAGCAAATCATTARATATTCATAAATAATGCTAATTATTCTATTCTCTGATTGGCCGAATATAAGAATTCTGTTCTGTGATTGGTTCTTTCAAAAAGATGCGATTAAGAGCTCAAAAGGATGCGATTAAAAGATACTAAGGATGCGATTTGGGAATTAATCGCACTCCTTTGAACCAATCAGATTGCAGGACTTGGTAGTAATTACAAAAAGGATATGATTAAAGTTAAAAGCAAACGAAACCTAGTATACTACGCTTCTCAGTTGAGTTTGGCGCGACAGATGTTTTGTGTCAGAKTTTTAACGGCTAAATGTTCATGTAGTCAGGGGCAATCCCAAAAGTGCAGAAGTATGATAATAGCAGAGGTCGGAGTTACACTCCGACTGCCTTCAGACAATTGTTACATTTGGTCAGTTTTTATACATTTCATTGTATTGACCCAAATGCCTCGACTTGAAACAGTTGTTTGAAGGCAACAGAGTGTTACTCCGATATCTGCTGTTACCGGTGATAATGTATTGGCATACTAATATACACGGGCTTTCGTAAGTTAAACCGACACATTTCGGTGTGAAGCTGGCTGGTTTTACCAAATAAGGTGTGTACCAGCTCGTTTGGCAGCAAAAGAGGCCGTGCAAAGAAGTATGACAATGGACCTTTATCACATGGCGGCCATGTTTATTCTCATGACAATAAAAACCTTTGTTTCCCCAGCATAAATTAATTCTCAGGCGCTTGAATTTGAGGCTACGCGTGGTGGAATGTATTGTTCAATCCAACATGGCTGCCGCGTGAATAAGACATATTAAGAGGAAATGTTTTTCAATAACAAGCAATAATGTCAAAGCCAAAAACTAGACCTTCGTATGTGTTTTGATCCCAATTTTCGTTTTGGGTTAACACTCAAAACCTTTTTTAACAGTTAGAAACTGATGTACTATGATAAAATGCTTGTTTGAAGCAGTATTTTCAATTGTACAAAGTTGTTTTGTTGCATTTGTGTTAGAATGTAGCTTTGTCAGGCTTTTTTATAGAAAATGTATGGTAAATAAGCAAATGAAGGCCTAAACCTCATTTTCGATTCAAATTTTTGCTTTGGGTTAACACATTSATTCCACTTTCATCCGTCATCTCCACTTCCAAACAAGTTAAACTTTCTGAATAACAAGATTTTAGCCTTGTGAAACAGCCTTTCTTCAAGAAAATAGTATTTGGCGTTTATCGCTTGAATACGAAAAGAATTCTCTCTTAATGTAAAACATTTGGTCATAAAGCCTGGGTCATGATGATTATCAGTGATGTTGCCGTGACAACATGCAAATTTCAACGACAAAACTTCGTGACAA